ATCACAGCGGAAGGCAAAGGAGCAGCAGGCACCTTCTTCGCAGGGTGGCTGGATGGAATGAGTGTAAGCAAGGGAAATGACACATCCTTATAAAACCATCAAATCTCATGAGAACTCACTATCACAAGAACAGCATGAGGAAAACTGCTACGTAATCAAATCAGCTCCCTCTCTGACATGTGGGGATTATGGGGATTACAATTCAAGATGAGATTTTGGGTGAGGACACAGCCAAATCATGTGAGTCAACCATCTTGGCCGCTCCCCTTTCTATAACTTTAAGGTCATCATTTCACACAATGGAGAATAATACCTCAGTTTTGTAATCATTGAGCTTTTTTGCCTTTGAAAATAAAAATGTTCCACTGACGATATTCACTGTTTCAGTTGAAAATTTTAGGTTACTTTCCCATCATGTAATGTCAGAAGCCTTTAGACATTAACTTTGCGTTTGTTGTTTAAATACTGTGAATATGCATTTTCTAGTTCTGCAAAGAGACTGTTTTAAGGATGTCTTTTACATGATATAAAATAGTGTTCCTGGCAATAAAGATAAATTTCATCCTTTATCATAAAGTACCCTTTTCCTTTACTTGATGTACAGAGGCAGTTGTGACAGTAAGTTGGCAGAAAATGTGCTGTACCCCCATCTTGCATATTTTTCCTGCGTCATGAAGTTCTCACTTTGTCATTAAAGTAAATCACATCTCTGAGGTTTTAGAAACAAAACCAATAACCTAGCCTTATTCCTTACAGAGCATTTTTAAAGATAATGGAAATAATGTTTTATAATTGAATTTGAATGCCAGAGTTCTAAAGCTGTATCTTTAAAGATAAAATTAAAAAATATTGTGTGGGTTTTAATTTTTACTATTTTTGTTACAATATTGCCACTGAAAGCATATAAGAATGTCATACTGATTTTTTTTTTTTTCTTTTTGTCATACTGACTTTGATACCCAAAATCTTTTGCTTTGCTTTTAAGGAATATTTATTTATTTATTTATTTAAAAGACAGGGTTTCACTATATTCATCAGGCTAGTCTCGAACTCCTGACCTCAGGTGATCTGCCTGCCTCAGCCTCCCAAAGTGCTGTGATTACAGGCGTGAGCCACCACACCTGGCAAGGGATATTATAAACCATATTTAGAATCATACAAATAACAAAATGAGTTTAGTCAAAATCTACACTGATGAGTTACTAATACATTTGTTAACCTCTTTTGTCAGAAAAACTACAGAGATGAAAATCAGCTTTCATCTTTTACATATAATTGGATAAGATCAGATGATCAACAGGAAAAGTTGAAAGTTGGAGCTGTATGGAAAAATACTAGAACCAACTAGCTCTGTCAAAAACCATGTGACCACCAAGTATAGGGGAGAAAAGCAGATTTGACCATGAACTGACCTCAAGTCACTTAATAATGGAAAGAAACAGCAAGATAGGTCTTCTTAGAGTTTTCTCAGGTGTTTGATAATAGCAGAAAACACCTTGGAAATTACCATATCAGTGTTTGAGAACTCATGTTAGATTATTTTTATTTTTCTATTTTATTATTCTGAAATTTTATTTTATGATGATTTTCAAACATACAGAAAATTTGAAAAAAAATGTACTGTGAGCAAGTGTGTTTCCACTACCTAGATTCTATAATTAACATTTTGAGGTATTTTGTTTGTCATGTAACTATCCATGCATTGATTCTATTATCCATCCATCAATTTGTCTTACTTTTTTTTTTTTTTTTAGACAGAGTCTCACTCTGTGGCCCAGACTGGAGTGCACTGGTGTACTCTCAGCTCATTGCAACCTCCACCTCCTGGGTTCAAGCAATTCTCCTGCCTCAGCCTCCCAAGTAGCTGGGATTACAAGTGCACAACACCACGCCTGGCTCATTTTTGTATTTTTAAGTAGAGACGGGGTTTCACCATGTTGGTCAGGCTGGTCTCGAACCCGTGACCTCGTGATCCATCTATCTCATCCTCCCAAAGTGCTGGGTTTACAGGCATGAGCCACTGTGCCCAGCTCGTCTTATTGTTTTATGTATTTAAAATTAAGTTGTACATACCCAGTCACTCCAGCCCTGAACACTTCAGCATATATATCACTAATTAGAGTTCAGGATTTATTTTTTTAGAAAAAATTTACAGACAGTGAAATGCCCAGATCTTAAGTGCACCATTTAATAAGTTTTGACAAATGTGTAATAAGAACCCTATCAAGATAAAAGACAAAGTTCCCTCATGCCTCGTCACAGTCAAGTCCTGACCCCACTCCCAGTCTTGTGATATTTTTTATCATAGATTTAACTTTTTTCATAATTTCATATAAAAGGCATCATACAGTATGTACTCTTTGGCTGGGACTTTCACTCAGTATAATGGTTTTGTGATTCATTCATGTTGTATTTAGCAAGTAATTATTCCTTTTCATTGGTGAATAGTATCCATTTAATGGATATGCAACACTTTGTTTATTCATTCTCCTGTTGTTGGATACTTGGATTATTATAAGTTTGGTGCTATTAATAAAGCTGTTGTGGAAAGACTTGTACAAGTATTTTTGTCAGTATATGCTTTTCTCATGTGTAATTGCCTAGGAATTGAAATCGCTAGATCATAGGATAGGTGTATATTTATTTCATAAAAAACTGCCAGATACTTTTACAAAGTGCTTGTACCATTTTACACTCTCACCAGAATATATGAGCATCTGGCCATCCATATCAATACCAGGTATTGACAATCTTTTAAATTATTTTGGTGGATACATACAGTGTCTTATATGCTCATTTGTAATGCTATTATAATATGCACTTACCTAATGATATTGTGCACTTTTTCATGTGCTCATTAACCACTTTTTTTGGTAAAGTGTCTTTTTAAACTCTTTGCTCATTTCTACCTTTTAATATTTGTCTTCTTGAGTTGAAAGAGTTTTTTATATATCTTGGATACCAAGCCTTTATTAGATATGTTTTGGAAATACTTCCTCCTAGTTTTTGTCTGGGCCATTCATTTATTAAAATAATGTATTTTGTGGAGAAGTTTTTCATTTTGATGAAACCTGATTTATCAATAGTTTTGATTGCTTTTTGTGTCCAAAGAAACCTTTGTCTGTCCCCAATATTAGATTTTTGATATATATTGATTACTTATATATTGGTATATCCATTCAAATAAATTTTACTTTGATCTTGAAGCTTTCACCCGTTAGCCAGTGCTGCTCACTTAAGACTTTATGATGAATCCAAATGAATCTAAATATTTCAACTAAAAATACAGAGTAAGTAGTTTGAGGTTTTTTCCACCTTCCAACACCTAGGATATTTTCTAGTTTTGTTGAATATTATGTTTGGAGGATGGGAAGAGATAGCAGAAGAGTATTATTAGGCAAGAAAGATGAAAGTATAAATTGCTATGGGAAAACCTCAAATTCTAACATTCCTCTGTCTTCTCTATACCTGCCGTTGCCCACCTTCTCCTTCTTACATTGTTCTCTCCGACAGAAGGGGTCATTGCTTGTAGGTTTCTTGATTCCAACATTTTAGTAAAGAGTGGCCATTTAGAATTGCTACTATCGCTGAAATTCTATCTAAATTTTAAAGCCCACTGGAGAGTCTGGATAGTGTATGAATTTACATTATTTCCGAAGAGACTGTCTGATGATACATAGTAATAAAGCTACTTTCGAAGCCATTTGATTTCCCTGTTAGAGCAAAGCAGTACCTGTTTGGTAAATGCCCCTAGCCTAAAATCTGCTTACTTTTCAGACCTATGAATCAGAATTGGGAGATGATCTCCAGGAGCATTATGGAAGAGTTATTTTATTATTTATTTCATTTCATTTCATTTCATTATTTTATTTTATAGTGGGGTCTTGCTATTTTGCACAGGCTGATACTGAACTCCTGGGCTCAAGGACTCCTCTCAGCCTCCCGAGTAGCTAGGATTACAGGTGTGTGCCACTGTTCCTGGCTGGAAGACTAATTTTAGATATTCATTTTTTGTTTATTTTTTTAAAAAGCTTTCATGGATTTTTATTTCATTAGAGAAGCAGAGAAGCAAAAATGAAAATGGAAACAAAATCAAGAATCTCTCCCAACCAGAACCAGAATGGGTGTTGTAGGTGGGATCAAGTGTACTTGGGGCTCATCAAACAGAGTCAGTAAGTGCAAGTAGTTTTACAAGGATTGAGAGACCTAATATGCGGTGAATAATTCAAGAGTTCTGGTTGCAAAAAATTCCCACTTAATGGTCTAATGTTTACAAGGTTTACCTGCTCCTGGTTAGGAGACCTCTGGGTTGTCCAAAAGAGTGATCTTCACAGGACTGAGGAATGAAGACTAATACCTCACCCAGTTATTAGTGAGAATTTTGTTCCTATTATACATATTGCAAATGGCTTGATGTGATATGAATAACTATTTCCCAGGGTCATCTTTTATTTTTGGCTTTAAAGGCTGAGAATAATACAAGATCTTCTTTATCTAGTGGAGCCAATTGTGTGTCTGTGTGTATGTGTGTGTGTTTTGTGTTGGAGATGGGTTTGGTGGTGATGAGGTGGTCGTGGAGGAGGAGAAGATTTAAGTACTTACAGGTAACTTAGCAGTTTTTCAGTAGCTTTCTTTGAGATCTATCAAGGTTTTCTTCCTTGCTGCTTTTCTTAACACAGGAGTCATATATATTCATGTTACCTGCTCAGTATCCATGTCAAGCTGTTCACATAATCAGTGGAGAAAGCTTTAAGGAAGCCAAAGATGTTTTTAAACTCCTTATGTGATGAAAAATTTCCTTTGGGATCTGAGGGGCCCACTTTCAGCCTACCACTTCCACTTATGTAAGCATTCCCATTACATGTACTTTTGAACTTTTGAGGCAGTAATATTAAAAAGTGAACTGAGTTTAAGTGTTAAAGATGGTTTGTTGATGAACATCAGTGAATTGATTTTTATACCCTTTTCTTTACTCTTTTTTTTTTTTTTAATTGTTACAGAAGAAGCTACTATGGAGGAAACTGGGCCAGTTTTAGCTTTTCAGGACTGTTGTCCTGGCTAAAGGAATATCAGGTAAAGTTTGTATCTGACATTTTAATTTGCTTAGTTGTATGTTACATAGTAACCCTGCATTGAAGAAAACCCTAAACTTCATCTGTAATATAGGATTGATTCTTTATTTTTGTTCATTTATTTTACAAAAAATTATGCAGTCACCATTTCAGCTAATATTTTCCCCATGTTTTTATCCCTTTTTAAATATAAACAGAAGCTGGGTGCGGTAGCTCATGCCTGTATTCCCAACACTTTGGGAGACTAAGGCGGGTGGATCACCTGAGGTCAGGAGTTTGAGACCAGCCTGGCCAACATGACAAAATCTTGTTTCTACTAAAAATACAAAAATTAGTCAGGCGTGGTGGCATGCGCCTGTAGTCCCAGCTACTCAGGAGGCTGAGGCAGGAGAATCACTTGAACCCAGGAAGTGGAGGTTGCAGTGAGCTGAGATTGGGCCATTGCACTTCAGCCTGGGTGACAGAGTGAGACTCTGTCTCAAAAAAAAAAAAAAAAAAAAAAAAAAAAAAAACGACGTATAAATATAAATGTTGGCTGAAGAGTAAACTGTATGTACTTAATAGCCATTTCCTAATTGTTCTTTATGTCCAAATAAAAGACAATAATTTTTTCCCTAAAATAATCTTTAGAAAAAATATCCCAGTCCTTATAAAATCTAACATTTACAGGTTGCTCTTAGAGTTAGTATATTTTGAACAAAAACCAAAATATTCCTAACAATTTGGGGAAGATTAAATTAATTTGAAATAATCTCAGTGGTGGTTTTGCACTTGTAGAAGTCACCTGACAGAATCAGCAGAAAGAAAAATCCAATAAATTTAGTATTAATTCAATAATTACTTTCTAAGGATAGGATCTCAATACTAAGCTGTTGAATACAATTATAAAGAAACTTTTTAGGGATCCTATATAGCATAATATGGAGAGTCAGTTATGGAGACTGCCAACTTTTATAAGGCAGCTTTAAAAAGTTGTCGCAATCTTATTCAGATGGGTACATGTGACTTGAAATGAAATTTCTACTGAGAGCATTATACAGAGAATCAGAAACTGCTGTATCTCAAAAGAATTTAGAATGTTTGGAAAGGAGGATGATATAGTTTAGAAAATTGTATTCAGTTAGCTAAGACTTGTTCAGCATTTATCATGTGCCAAGCACCATTATATTGATTGATTCATTTAATGGTGTACATGATTCAAAAAGTGTCTCTCATGATGACAAAAACGTTGATATGGAAGATGCTGTGAAAATGCCGTTTGAATATTGTTGCATGAAATGAGTATGGAGAAGCAATATTTGTAAAGTAGCATTTCATGTAATAATTCAAACTGTGTAAGTCAAGAGAGAAAATGAGTAGATATTTAACTGTTTTGTCTATATGCTTAAAAATTCATGTATTTACTTTGATCAGAAACTCTTTTTTGTACCCTATTTTTGGGAAGTGTGTGTGAGGGTCACTTTATTTTTAGGCATATTTAGTACTTCCATGAGAAAATTCAGTGTAGATTCTCAGACCAGCAATAATATACCCCAATTGTCTGAATGGAAACTAAAAAAAAAACAAATTTGGTAATGTTTTAGATTTTTTCAAATAAAAATGTTTTTGTTGAAGTTGTGTTTATTTTAATGATTGTTTCACTGCAGGATCTTGACTCTGCCACTGTCTTTTCCTCTCTCTCTACCCCTGTTCTCTGTTCCACAGTTCTTTTCCTAGGTTGATAACCTCATGTCTACACATTCAAAATTCTTGTACTTTGCCTTCTCTTCTACTTACATTCGGATGTTTAGTACTATCTAATATTATACTTGATAGGAAGAGCTGTATGTCAATGCTTTTCTTCAGATGAGAATGTTAAACTCAGGACAACAAAGCCTTTTAAAAATATGTATTGCCTTTATGAAATTTGTAAGTTTCGAAATTTTCTGAGATGAATTTACTTAAAAGATATTGTAATTCTATTTTCCTACCAGTTCCTTGAGTATGTATAATAGAATTCCAAAAAGTTTTCCTTGAGAAAGACATATATTAAACAGCTTAAAATTTTAAACAGATTAAAAATTGATCCTTGACATTTGAAAAAGGTAATCTTGACGCCTTAAAAAATGCTCTATATTCAAATAATCCATAAAATATAATAATTGAAAATTTTAACAGACCACTTTCAACTTGTCTTTCTTGTTTTCTAAGGTATTCATGGACTAATTATTATAAAGCCCTTAGTTATACTGGGCTGAGTATTTTTCAAAAGTACTTTTACATGTAATCAAAATTTGACATGACTAGTGACCAGCCTTCGAAGATCTGAAAATAAATAGAATGAAGTTATTTTGACCCTGCTGTTTCGACCAAAAAATGTAAAAAACAAAAACAAAAACAAAAAACTCTCTGTTTTTATTAACAAGTAATGTACACAACAGATATATTTGATTCTCAGCAGATAGAGGGTTAGTTGTCCTACTTCTTAAGCAATGTCCAAACAGCCATGTCTGAATGACTTTTTCAAAATTTTATCTCCCCTGATAGAAATCTGTAAATCAGAGCTAGTTTTTGATAATATAGATTTTACACATTGTTTTGCTCTCCTTTCTTTGAAGTTGGAACACTTGGACTTTGTTTGGTGACTCTGAGGTGATATCCTTTGAGTTTTGGTGAGAGGAAATAAGCATGAATTTAGATAAGAGGTGAATTTTCTCAAAAAATTACATGTTTCACACTGGCCACTTTCATTAAAACTTCTTATCTGTGTTTTGTTTAGGAAAACAGTGACATTGTAAATGACAGTCCAGTGTGGCAAGACCATATCCTTGAAAATGAAGAAGCCATTGCTCTTAGCAGGAAGGACAAAACTATTCAACATGTGGAAGTATTTTGTTATGCCAGGTATGAAAAATCTTTACTGAAGGTAAACTAAGTTAATGACTTTTTTACTCTTCTTCAGAAGAAGCCAACAATAAAGATTTATGTGGCAGTGGCTGCTACAAGGCACATAGATATGCTGGTTTTGCCTGTTTTTAAATGGAACTTTCAGTTTTCTCTATTTAGGTAGTAATGATAACATCTTACCTTAATGCCTTTGAATTTACCAAGCTGTTTTAAATATATTATCTCATTTCATTAAAACAATTCTGTGGTAGGGTAGGGCAGATAGTAGTACTAATAGTTGGAGTTTTTTTTTTTTTATTTATTTAAAAAAATTTTTTTTTGAAAGAAAGAAAAAGAGAAAGAGAAAGGGGGAGAGAGAACAGGAGTTTTGCTCTGTTGCCCAGGCTGGAATGCAATCTAAAAATAGTTATTAAAAACCTCTTTTATGCCAATAGTTGTGCTTAACAGCGGAGACAGGAAGGAATAAGGGAAGAAACTAACAAACAGCCAACCAATATTTCATTTAAGTCTGTGAAATGCAATGCAAATGCTGAAGAGTGATTTACTTCCAATTATTTGGTCACTTTCAAAATAGGTGTAATATGATACTGAGAAAAATGTATGTCCTGTGGACCTGGGGTGAAGAATTCTATAAATATTCACTGAGTTTACTTATTCCAGGTCTGAGTTCAAATCATAGATGTCTCTGTTAATTTTCTATCTCGTTGATCCGTCGAATATTAACAATGTGGTGTCAAAGTCTCTCGCTATTGTATGGGAGTCTAAGTCTCTTTATAAGTCATTAAGAACCTGTCTTATGTATCTGGGTGTTCCTATATTGGGTGCATATATATTTATGATCATTGCATTGATCCTTTTACCATTATGTAATGTCCTTCTTTGTTTCTTTTAGTCTTTGTTACTATTAAAGTCTATTTTGTCAGAGATGAAAGTTACAACTCCTGTTTTTTTCTGCTCTCCATTTGATTGTTGAGTCTTCCACCAACCCTTTGTTTTGAGTCTTTGTGCGTTCTTGCTTATGAGATGCATCTGGATACAGCGAACCAATGGGTTTTGACTTTTCATTCAATGTCTGTCTGTATCTCTGATTGGGGCATTTAATCCATTTAAATTTAGGATTAATATTGATATTTGTTAGTTTAATATTGTTGTTTAATGCTAGCTGGCTCTTTGCCCATTAGTTGATATAGATTCTTCATCATGGAGATACTCTTTACCTTTTGGTAAGTTTTTTGGGATGACTGATACTGGTTGTTCCTTCCTGTGTACAGTGCTTCCTTCAGAAGCTCTTGTAAAGCAGGCCTGGTGGTGATGAAATCTCTGAGTGCTTGCTTGTTTGTGAAAAATTTTATTTTTCCTTCATTTATGAAGCTTAATTTGGCTGGATATGAGATTCTGGGTTGAAAATTCTTTTCTTTGAGGATATTGAATATTGACCCCCCACTCTGTTCTGAAAGTTTGCAGGGTTTCAGCTGAGAGATCTGCTGTGAGTCTGATAGGCTTCCCTTTATGGGTAACCTGACCTTTCTCTCTAGCTGCCCTTAGAACTTTCTCCTTCATTTCAACCCTGGTGAATTTAACGATTATGTGTCTTGGGGTTGCTGTACTTGAGGAATATCTTTCTGGTATTCTCCGTATTACCTGAAGTTGAGTATTTTCCTGCCTTACTAGGTTAGGAAAGTTTTCCTGAATAATAATATTGTGAATAATATTTTCCACCTTGGATTCATTCTCTTCATGACATTTAGGTACACCTATCAAATGCAAATTAGGTCTTTTCACATAGTCCCATATTTCTTGGAGACTTTGCTCATTCCTTTTTGCTCTTTTTTCTCTAATCTTGTCTTATTTCATTTCATTAAGTTGGTCACCTCTGATATCCTTTCTTCTGCTTGATCAATTCGAGTGTTAAAACCTGTGCATACTTGACGGTGTATTGTTTCTTCAGTTCCATTAATTCACTTATATTCCTTTCTAGATTGTCTTTTCTCGTTAGGATTTCATCAAACCTTTTTTCAAAGTTCTTAGTTACTTTACATTGGGCTAGGACATGCTCTTTTAACTCACAGAAGTTTCTTATTATCCACCTTCTGAAGTCTAAATCTGTTAATGAAATGCACTTGTTCTCCATCAGGTCTTGTTCTGTCGTTGGTGAGGAACTGTGATCCCCTGTAGAGGGAGAGGCATTCCGATTTTGAGTATTCTCAGCCTTTTTACGCTGGTTTCTTCCCATCATTGTAAATTTATCCACCTGTAGTCTTTGTAATTACCGACTTTCAAATTAGGTCTCTGAGTGGACGTCCAACTTGTTGATTCCCAGCTCCAGAATCTGAGCAACCCACTGCGCCGGCCAAAACAGCGGTGTTAAGATTCGTGTTGCTTTTCTGCTTGGGGAATCTTCGGTCTGGCTTCTTTCTTGAGTCCCTTTTTCAATCAGCTGAATGGGTGACTCTGCCTTCCCAGAGGTCCAAACGTTGATGAAAAGGGGACTCAGTCCCATTTAACTCTGCACCAAGAACCGCCACGCTGGCCACAAGAGTCGCGCTGGTGACCCATGGGGCTCCTCTGCTGGGAATCTCCTGTTCTGTGAGCAACAAAAATTCATCTGAAAGTGTGGCGTCCTCTCTTTCTCTGCGCTTTCACTGGGAGCTATAATCCTGAGCTGCCGGTAATCAGCCATCTTGGATCTCTCTCCTTTTTTTTTTTTTTTTTTTTTTTTTAAGATGGGGTTTCACCATATTGGTCAGGCTGGTCTCAAACTCCTGACCTCAGGTGATCCGCCCACCTCAGCCTCCCAAAGTCCTGGGATTACAGGCGTGAGCCACCGTGCCCAGCTATAGTTGGAGTTTTTACAGAATCCTCAATGGAGCTTAAAGAGATTAAGTAGTTTGCAGAAGGTCACATGGCTTGGTAAATGGCAGGGCCACACCCAAGCTCCAGAGTGGTAGAGCCTAAGATTAAATTCCAGAGTTTTTTCCTCCTGCTCCAGTGTTCTTCCAACTATACCATCTTTCTTGGATAATACTTAGTGTAGCAAAATGGAAGATTATAAGTTTTGAATAAAATAATTAAATCATGTGGGCCTGATGTTTGAGTACATATTTTGGTAAATTAGTCTAGAACAGTGGGAAGTTACAATGTTTTAAGTATCTCCTTCTGAGTGAGAGATTCACTGTTTAAAAACAATTGGAATAGTTTACTTTTTCAAATGACATATGATTGACAGGTTGAAAGGTAATAATCACATAGTTAAATCATTCAAGTAGTTACAGAGTCCAGAGGTTTAGAACATCAGACTGACAGGCACTTTAATAGTAATTAAAATTTAGAATTCAACACACCAGAGATTCTTCAGGATACGCTTTGTCATCTTACACATCACTGTCATGGCAGAGTGTTAAATGTGAGCCTGTGAAAAGTTTGGGAACATATGCTTAACTTCTTAACCTACTACGTTCATATCTTTCATGTGAGTAGCCTTTTTTCTCCAGTAATACACAGTTTGTGTTCTGTGATTTTCTGCAAAAGCACAGCCTTTGAAGTATTAGGTATAGATTATAATTTGTATAATGCTAAATGCCATTTGGTATTTAAAGGTACAGCTCACTAGATATTGTTCAGAGCCAGTGCTGAAAGATTTTAAAAAGAAGATGATTTCAACTGAAAAGACATATGCCTTAATGAAATGAGTAATAAATATTTGGTAACTTTCTTGTATGCCCATGAATAATACTTGACTACAGTATAGTGACAGTCACACTGGCCTTCTGAGAGGTATTATACTTCTGTTACTTCAAGGCCTCTGATTACTTTTTATGATAATTGAGGTTAATAGTTTCTAATGGCTGAGTTTATGCATTTTGAATACAAAAAAATTATCTCATTTTCAATTCCTGATCTCTTCAGTTTCATTTGTGTAACTTCTTAAAGTGAGAAAGTAAATGGTTGGTGGTGGAAGGTTTGTTTGAAGACAATGAAATAGAACTCTGTTATATGTTTCTCTTGCCAGTTAGAGTGTGGAGCAAAAGGTGAATGGGGATAATGTTCTATACGTCTTAATTCACTTGGAAAAGTTAGCTGGTTATTACTGTCATAGTAAGCAGGAAATGCCTTGAGAACATCCAGGAAAGCAGAGAAAATACAGAAAATCCATCTGTAAGGGCTGTCTATAGTAAGTGCTGGCAACATGGGTAAATAGGACTAACAATATCTCACTTAACCCCAGCAACACTGTGGCATCCTTAATCTATCGGATCATGTTCACAAACCTGTAATTATATGAAAGGGGCTAGGAGCAAAATAGCTGTCACAAAGTTTTAGATGAGAGGTCATCACCAGCACTCACTGACTTAATTTGAAAGCCTTATTAATTTAATATATATTTCTGACAACCTCATTTTCTCTCTGTGTGTGTGCGTGTGTGTGTGTGTCTGTGTGTGTGTGTGTGTTTCTCCTAGCATTGTAGTTTAAAGTAACAAATAGGAAAGGATTACTTGCTAGAAGCAAGCACACTGAGAACTACATGGAGACTAGTCCTTAACTTGCTGTGTGATACTGAGCAAGAGACGTCTCTATTTTGAGTCTGTGTTTTGCCATTAATAAAACATGAAGAGTTTGGACTAGGCGATCTCAGAAGTCTCGCTAGGCTCTAACAGGCTATCATTTTAAGTGCTACTTGGTAGACTAATAAAGGAGAAGACAGCAGTGGCAAGCTGAAAGCAGACTTTGGGCCATTTACTATATGGGTAAATGGCTTTTCATATCAGAAGATACCTCAAGGCCATCACTATATTATAGTACAGTATAACAGTTGATGATCATAATTGTACCCCACTGTCTTCAGGCAAAATTAAATAATATTCTTTATCCTCCACTTAAAAAAGTAGAGAATTTGAAGTACATTTTAGAAAGATGAGTATTACAAATGGTTAGAATAAAAATTGTACCATTTTAAGAGGTGAGCTTTTGTTATCTAGAAAATTCTCTTATTTCCTCTT